GAAATCTGCCAGTTCTCCGACCCAACGTAAACCCGTTGCACTAAGTTTTGCGGAAGACAAGATGTATGTGAGTGGGTTGTTGTCAGTATACACTGTAAATTCCGAGGCATAATACAAATAGTCTCGAAAATGGTCACAAATCGCCCACTTTAGTGCAAGAAATTCCAACTTGCCCGAATGGTGATGGTAATTTCTTTCGGCGGGTGTCAAGCTTCGAGAAGCATACGCAATAACTCTTGTTTCACCGTTTTGACTTTGGTACAGGACGGCTCCCAGTCCCTCTTCAGACGCGTCAGTGCACACTATAAACGGTTTGGTAAAATCTGGGTAGGCCATCACAGGTGGGTCAACCAAATGATCTAACAGGTCTTCAAGGATGAGTTGATGATCGTTAGTCCACTGCACAATAGTACTAGAGGGTAACTGTCCTTTCGATTTCATATTATGTTTGCTATTTCCTGTCTCTACACCGTCACTCTTAATTAGATCGTATATTGGTTTCGCTTTTCTAGAGAAATTTGGAATGTATCTCCGATAGCAATTTAGCAGTCCCATTAAACGCCTAACATCACCAACGTTTTTTGGAGGGGACGACTTCAAATGGTGGATAACCTCTACGCCTGCAGGGTCCATTCGATAACCGCTTTCTGAAACAATACGTCCCAAAAACACTACTCTCTCGAACAACTTACATTTTTGAGGCTTTAGCTTTACCCCATTTTCCCTTAAACGCTGAAATACCTTCCGAAGATGTTCCACATGATCCTCGAACGTGGCACGAAATACGATGACGTCATCAAGATACGGGATACATATTGTGTCGCGCAAGTCATCCAAACAGTTTTCCATGAATCTTTGGAATGCCGCCGGGGCATTACAAAGACCGAATGGGATTCGAACCCATTCATATAAGCCCCAGGGGGTTATAAATGCAGTTAGGGCTTGGCTCTCCTCACTCATAAACCCTTGATGGTATGCTTTTCCTTGGTCCAATACTGAGAACCATGAATTTCCCCCAAGACTGTCAAGTGTCTCTTGGATCCTGGGTATAGGGTGGCGATCTGGGATGCTTTTTTATTTAGTTCTCGATAGTCGATGCAGAGCCGAAGCGTTTGGTCCTTTTTCCGGACACATACTACAGGTGAACTGTAAGGGGATGTTGACTTCCTGATGAAGTTCTTATTCAAGAGATCTTCAACATAACTTTTAAACTCAGGATAAAGCGGTCTTGGCACTGCTGTGTAATTCTTTTGTACTGGTGTCTCATCGTTCAATTTGATTGTTACTTTCAGATCTGGGATACACCCAATGTCATCATCGTTCTGTGAAAATGCGTCAGCTTCTTGAGCTAACATCCTTAGCGCAACTGATCTTTGTTCTGGTGTTAACCCCTTTAAGTCAATGTTCTTGATGTGGTCAGGGATGCCCACCGTGGGCTGGGTTTCATTAGTGAAAGGAACAGAACATTCACTAACTTTACAAGTTTGGTCTACCTGAGAACCATTCTCAACGGTTTCCTCTCTCAATTTTACTGGTATTGCGGTTACAGACCGTACCAGTTGTAATCGTCCTAACACTGTCCGTCGCTTAATAACAATATCATGATTTGTTGGGTTATTTGCCTGCACTTCGATAAAATTAGTCTTCCCTTTCTTTACTGTTAGCAATGTCTCGTTGATTTCTAGGCAGGAGGGCCAAGGCATTGTTTCATCTGGTTCGAATAAAACTGGGGTAGTCCCACAAATTGGACCTGTATTAACTCGACACTGAATGTTTACCTGTTTACCACTTGGTATAACAACGTCTCTTTTGCTTGTTTTTACATTGCATAAATAATCACTGTCAGCACTTTGAACAAAGTTAATTAATGCTTGTGCTGCACCATTGTCAAGTCCAACAAATGAAGATTGAATTTCTGACAATAAATCATTGTGTTCATTTGTCACAATTTCTTCAATCACATTGTAGCCTATTATTGGGTGCTCAATTGTTTCAGTTGTAACCAAAAATGGCACTCGTACCTGGGTGTTCTTTGAAGACAAGGTAAATGCTAATTCAACCCAACCAATATATGGTATAACACTACCATTTGCTGCTGTGAGTTTTAGGTCAGTCTCGACAAGTTCCGACAAACTTCTTATTTGTTTTATTGGGTGACTTTGTGTCAAAAACCTTTCTGAAACCAAAGACACTTGGGCCCCTGTGTCCCAAAGCACATTAACTTCTTTATTGTGTAATTTCCCCAATACTATGCATTTTCTACCAATTATCTGTACCAGTTTATTCTGTTGACTTGGAGTTAGGTGGGTTGCAAAGAATTCCAAGTTTGCATTGTCTTTCATATCCTTGTGATTAATGCTTTGCAAGGCAACACATGTTGCTTTGTGATCATGCCAATGTTTCCTTTGACATTCCCGGTCACAATAATAAACAGCTTTGCATTGTTTACAACAAAGGATAGTGTTATGTACTTGGAGTTTTTTGCAAAACGCACATTGAGGGGACGTTTGTTCTATGTTCTTGGCCATCTCCTGTCCCTCGGAAATGGCCCCTGTCCGTTTTCCGCCTTCCTTTGTGGGCAGTGACTGGCTAAATGTCCAGCCTGACAGCAAATAAAACAGTGTCTGCAAGTATTTCCATTGTTTTCTCTCCTACATTTGGGGCAACCCCGTGGATATCTTGGCTGGAACGGTGCATTACTCTTAGACACCTGGGGCCGGTTGTATCAAAGGCGTTTAACTCGCTAACCACCGTTTAACTCGCTATCCGCCGGATAAAATTTAAACGCTCGAGAAATCGCGTTGTATCAAGCCCGTTTAGGGCTATCCACCGGTTAAATTTTGCCTATCCACCGTGTAAACTTATACGGTCTCTTGAGACCGTTTAAATCGCTATACGGCGGATAAACTCGGAGTTTGAAGATAAAACAATGATTATTTCGGATGAAAGAGCATGGGATAGTTATAAAAATGCACAATCATGTAGAGGAGTTATCTTTTTAAATCCAATAAACATGAAAAACTCACTTTTAACTGGCTTGGTCTTGAGGTACACTGAGGTCACTTGCTCACTTGTAATTCCGTGGCTTTGCTATATTTACGCACACCAGTGTCATGTTTAGATGTTATTAAAGTATATATACTCTGGCTTTTTCTTCTTCTTTTCTTCTATTATATAGTTTGAAAACAAGCAGTAAGACTCGCAATTTTAGCTATTGTAAAACAAACAATGACTTTGGAAAGCCAACAAGTATACAAAATAGACAACAAGACGCCGAAAGTCGAAAAAAATTGTTCGCTCGCGTTAATCGCTTTGATCAGCCAATCAAAACGTGGTTCAAAATGTTCTTAAAATTGTTTTGTACAAAAGTGCAAGGTCGAGGAACAAATTTCAAACAATATAAAACTGAACCAACTGACAAAAGCCAAATACAACTCACAGTTTTTGCTATTGCCTTCGATTCTTCGCATAAAGAAGCCAAAAATCTTTAAAGAAATATCCGTAAGTGAATTTAAGTGAATGAGAAACTCAGCACAATGTGAAAATGAAAAGTTTGATATAGATTTGCAGCAACGGATGGACGAGCAAACTCCAAATAAAAACAACTACAAACTTTATTGCAAAAGCTTAGTGGAATTCAATCAAAGATTAGTATCTAATCTTTGATTCAATGGCCTAGCAACAGCTGACGTACACTGTTAATTCTAGGGAGTAATTTTAACTCCACCGTAAGAGTTGAAATAACTCCCTTTTGGGGAGTAAAAAAATTAGAGTATATTTCACTCCAAAACCAGAGTTCAAACTACTCCATTTCAGTTCACATTAAAACTTTTACTCTACTAAGAGTAAATATTACTCCATTGCAGGGATAAAATATACTCCAGCAAAGGAGTACAAATATTCGAGTACTTTTTACTCCTTTATTTTTATTCCAGGAGTAACTTTAACTCCAATCTTACTGCTCTAGGAGTCAATTCAACTCTCATAAAGGAGTAGAATTTACTCTTTAAAAGGAATAGACATATCGGAGTAATTATTGTATATTTACTCCTTTATTTTCACTCCAAAAAAGAAGTAAACATACCGGAGTAAGTAATGCATTTCTGGGAGTCAATTCAACTTTCATAAAGGAGTAAAATGAGAAAATTGGGAAATAAACATTACTGTAAGCTAATTTATTTCCCATACCGGTTTGACATATTTTTTTACAAAATGGCGAATTACATGCGAGATTCAAATTCTGAACCTAATCAAGTGTGGAAGTGGGATTTGCAACCGATGTGACCAGAGGCTCTTCCTTCTCGCCTATCGTTTCTTTCGCCTCGCAATGAGCCTCTGGAACCAGGGCAATCTATGCATTTGCAGATGATCAACATAAATCCAGATCGTATCTTACACTTAAGAATTTGCTGTTCCTGCAAACTTGATTTCCTTGAGCCACAGAATAAGTTTTTATTCTGTGCTTGAGCCTTTGATTGGTCATCCAATCATGCGCCTCTTTCAACATCACGTGACAATACGAACCCAATACGCCTCGCGCGCGCCATATTCAATCTCTTCTCCCTCGTGTTCACCAAAGTAAGGCTGGAAATTTGTGCTTAATGCGTTTTGTCGTTTTAAAACATTAAATTTGAGCTTCATTCTCTCCATTTTGTCAAATATATTCAAGAAACAGTATACAGAGAAGAAATGGATTCAGATTTAGAGGTACTGTGAAGTTTATTTTGTTTTTAAGGGAACTGGATCGGTGCCCGTCTAAATATGCCATAATAAAAAATAATTTAGTGATTTAGGGTTGTATTATAACTATGGTATGCCGAAAATATATGATTTCCTTAATATTCTTCTTAATCCAAAGACATTTTATTCGTTTTAAGCAACATCAATGAGTCTAGAATTATCTCAGCGGAGTGTTATATATTGAGTGCAGGAGTCGGCTATTAGATTGTCTAGAACATACTGTATTTAATATGTTCTAGACAATCTAACAGAAGACGGAGTATCCATCACATATTCACATACTGACATGGCTATGAGAACATGTTAAACTTAAAGTATAACAAATCATTTTATATAATACCTTATTAAATTCTAATCGTTTAATTGGCTGTTTATCGTCACGTGATATTGAATAGAAAATTCCATTTCCCAAGAGTGCAATGGAACGCGTTCCATTGCACTCTCCGCGAGTGCAATGGAATAAAACGTATAGTACAATTGCACTCTTTGTGTTTTCGATAAATCGCATCCCTCAAAATGCTTCTCATACGAATCTATTAGTCTGTTCTGGACTTTTGGTATTATATAAAACAAATAATGAATGTTTCTTCGTGCAATGGTAAGAATATTTTCATTCGGTGAAAGATGGAATGTTCCATTCAACTCGGCTGTCGCCTCGTTGAATGGAACATTCCATCTTTCACCTCATGAAAATATTCTTACCATTGCACTCATAAACATTCATTATTTGTATATTATGACATTTTCAATGATATATGGCTATGAGTCCTATGAGAATGAAAGTCTGATTTGCGTTCGTTAAATTTTCAAATCACATTTGCTTCCACATTCAAATTCCCTCTTTCCCTTGTGAAATTTCCTTAAATACCAACAGCTGGGAAATTTGTTGTCGCTGTGCAGAGAAATTGCTGGCGCACGCGGTATTTTACAAAAATTCGAAAATTTGAAAAAACAACACGAGTGAAATTTCAACTGATGATTTTGCATTTTTAAGACGGCGATCAAGGAAATTAAATTGTTGGAAAAACTTCACTAACATCTCAAGTATGGAAAGCATTTACATTACCAGAAATTTAATTGTGGATTGATTCAAAATTCAGGCGATAAAGTTACATAGCTAGGAGTTGGCTTTTGTGCTTTTCGAATATCAGTTTTCATTCGCGGATTACCATAACTTGTTGGCCTCATGGGTGCCAAAATCGACATAAACGTAAACTGCTAACCAAGGGCTATAAAACAAATAACTTTTCAAAAAGATAAACTTTATTCAGTCAAAAGGATGAGAGTAAATAAACATGCTACTGCGTGATAGTGATTTCGAAGCAATTTTGTCAGATATATTTTAAAAAGTGTGATAATTAATCAAATTTTGCTATTTGCAATCCCAAAAAGGTATGAAAAATATTTAAATATTTAAGGTTTCCGTGTTTCTAAAGTATTTTGTTGAGAAAAGTAAAAATTTTCCCGATAAAAAAGCATAGTTTCTGCAGAAAACTGTTTTCTGATAGAGAAGGTCCTGGGGGAGGGGGTGTAGAAGCGTGCGCGGATAGCAAAAAACCATGACGTTTCCTCCAAAAAATTAATACCAAATTTTGTTTTGCCTTTGTTTGATATGTAATTTAAACAAGTTTTTTTACATCTAAAAATTGCCCCTAGTGGTCAAAACTTGGATTATGTTCGCAGTATTGGCCATTTGTTTACTTTTGGGGATCAAAGTTTGAGGTCCAATTATTTTTAAAGTTTGCAAACTACCCAGCTAATTCTTGGCTGTTGTTTGCAGCCTTGTATGCTGATTAAAATTTAGTTTAGTCCACAATAGTAGATCCTTTCAATAAAGGGAAATTCAAAATAGTATATGTGATTACTTTTACAGCACAGTCATTACATAGGTAGGGTGCAATACCAGGCCAAATTGCCAAAAAATTTACCGATTCCTCCAAATTTAAAATCATATTTTTTTGCTCCCAAGGCACATGGGAAACATAATTTAACAATGAATTTTGTTGAAAAATTGCCCCTTTGCGTCTAATTTCGCTTTGAAATGCGTGCGTTTACTGCTCTTGTATGAAGCAAGAGTTCGAAAACATTCCGAAGTACTGTAAAATGTAATGAAATCGACAACTTGCCCTTGCCCTTGAGACCTTGTAGACCAGTGGTACTGCCTCAGCACTGAAATGTTTTTTTGACAACGATAATTAAAATATTTACCAGTGTTTCTTGAATATTTTCCTTGTTTAACTAGTAGAACCGAACGTACAAGTGTATCAGAAGACTAAGCGAGAGTTTTGTGTAGAAATGCTCTGTTTACGGGAAGTTATTTGGCATTCGCAAGCGTCAACAAAACTGCGGCATCAAGTTCACAGTTTGATTATCATAGCGATAGATAAAAGCTTTGAAAATTCAATTGAAAACATTTTAAACCACCCGTATTTGTATAGAATATATGTTTGTTGTATTAACATTGAACTTCTTTCTGTTTGAATCCAAATTCGTACTTGTTTTGCGTTTGACAAGGCTGTCAAGGTCGCGACGATTGGCTTTTATACCTCAGTCAGGCATGACTACAGATTTTAAATAGCGTGTCAAATGTCTTCTTGTTTGTGTCAAGATTATAATATTCTATTGCTGTTCAAACGAGATATTCACTGGAAACGTAGAGTACATTTTACTTTGTCTTTGTCTCAAGCAAAAAAAGTATAAAGATTAAACAGGCATTCAAAAATATACAACAACCACGAACATCTCGTAATATTTCTTCGGGGAAACTTCAAGTTTCAATGGAAATCTGGCGCATGCGCAACAAATTTCCCAGCTGTTTTAAATACCATGAAATTTCCCTGGAAGCACCAAAATATTATGTTGAAAATTATGAAAATATGATTTCTACTGCACTGGATTTCTGCAATAGTACAATGTTTATTGTTTATATAAATGTGGATCCAAGTCTGATTGTTATGTCTGGTCACAGTCCTGCTAGTGTTTTATTTGTACCAAAATACCAACCGAGGTGAGGTGTGGGGACTGCAAGCAATGGCAGCTATTTTACAAAATTAACAGTGACAAATAGTCACATTTTATAGACAAATAATGGTTGTTTTTAATATTTTAATAGCTCTGCACAATCGAGTTGCTTCATGGCAGACTGTAGTGATGTCTTACTAAAAGAATTGGTTTCAAAAGGAGGGCAGATTGTCAAATTAAGGATTGCTATACAAAGATATAAAAATCAGGTAAATTGTTATAAATTTATTGCAATTAAAGGCATATAATTATGTATTCTTGACTTGCATGCAATCCTTTGGCAATTAACAGATAATTGAATTTGGGGACCAACATGGCCACCATTCTATAGAAATGAGATTTTCTTGTTGAAATGGGGACCAACATGGCCGGTTACAAGTCCAGAATAAGGAATTGTAAGGGGACGATTACATGGAGAACTTTCAACCCCGAGGTTGAACTCAGTCCTATTAATCAGGTTGAAATTTTTTTGCGATTACATGGACGATTTCAACCCTGGGATTGAAACGCTATACTATACTGGTGTAATGTACTCAGGTGAATAAGATGCTTGTGTGATGTTACTCTGAGTGTATATCGACACTGGGCAGGCTTGAAAAATATGCCTGGCCACGGTGGGAATTGAACCTACGACCTTTGGAATACTAGCCCAATGCTCTGCCAACTGAGCTACACGGTCAGGTCGGTTCGAGTATGCGATATTTCAGAACTGAGTCTAGTTCCTTCGATATCAGTGTAGTCTAATAATCATGAGATTTGCTGTGTTGGTGTAATGTACTCAGGTGAATAAGATGCTTGTGTGATGTTACTCTGAGTGTATATCCACACTGGGCAGGCTTGAAAAATATGCCTGGCCACAGTGGGAATCGAACCTACGACCTTTGGAATACTAGCCCAAATATGCTCTGCCAACTGAGCTACGCGGTCAGGTCTGTTCTGGCCACCGTGGCCAGGCATATTTTTCAAGCCTGCCTGATGTAGATATACACTCAGAGTAACATGACACTGTAAGCATGCTATACTATATGTTCTCGGCATCAATTCCCAGAGGTAAAAAAAGCCTTCATTTTGTTTTCCTGTAATAAATAGTCACTACCACGCATGCTCGAATAACTCATGATAATTTCAACCCTGGGTTGAAACGATTACAACCCCGGGGTTGAGATTTTAACCCTGCTAGCTGAAGCAGGGTTGAAATTTCAACCCCGGGGTAATGAACTCAGCCCAGGGTTGAAAATTTTGTCATGTAATCGTGCGTTTGATTTTGATAGAGTTTTGTATTACAGACAGGGCTGAAATTTCAACCTGGTAAACAGGGCTGAGTTTAACCCTGGGGTTGAAAATGCTCCATGTAATCGACCCCTAATTTTTATCATACATGGTATCATGAAAGTTTGTCATTTATTGGAATTAGGCAGAGGTTTAAAATTAAATGTCTGGTTGCTCCTTTTATGGGTTACGGTAATTTTTATTAGGTATAAAACACTGCTATTATAAAGGATTTGTCATTTAAATCTAGTTTTACAATATTACAGGTTGATCCTTCAATCCCAGTATCCGACTGTAATTTTGCCCCTTGTACTGGAAGAAGCTCATGCCCTGTATCTAAGGCAGACTCTCCCCTTTTGAATACTTCATCCTTGGCATCTCGATGTAATTCCTGCCCATCAAGCCCTACTGTATGGATACGATGTTGTCATTTTTCCAACTTGTAACAGTAGCATAGCTAGCTTTGGCAACCAATTAGCTGGTTCTGGCTTTTGGATAAGTTGGGAACCTCCAGTGGGAATATGAATGTTTACTGTATATATTAGTGGCTTTAGCACAACCTCCTTTTAACTGGGATGTCTGAGTGAAGCAGTACCCATGCCACCCCCAAAGAGATCTGTTGTCCAATGTCCATCTGCTATTATTATTAAAGCTTTTATTTGCATGACCTAGTTACAGGTATTGCTAAGCGTATATATATATAAAAAAGTTATAGTAACTATAGTAATTTTACTGTAGTTACAACATTAAGTGGATAAAGAAATATATACAATAGATAATATATAATAGAAATATAGGAAAATTTAGTAATTTAGTTAGTATCTCTTGTTTGAAGGCTTTTGTCTCTAATGTTAAAACATTTTGCAATGAATTTTGAAAATAGATCGATTAAAACTGAATCAGTGCTTGAAATAACATGACTCAATAAGTTTTGCTTTGACTCTGTTACAAGAGTCATTTGAAAAATGTTTTTCAGTATATTGCTGGAATCATTCCTAATGTTTTCATAATTTTGACATTCGAAGGCAAAGTGAAATTCGTCTTCGACTTTCTGAGTGCCGCATAATTTACAATATCTTTCTTCACGGGGTATATTTTGATAGCGGCCGTACTCTATAAGTAGTTTGTGATTACTTATTCGGAATTTTGCAAACATTCTTCTTTGGGATGGGTCTTTTATTGTGTTAAGATATTCTTCCATTTTATATTTCTTTTTAAATGTATAGTAAAATGATAGTTTTCTGGAATTTCTTACTTGATCATTCCAGAATGAAACATAGTTGTCTTTGACACTTTTTTTGATGAAAGAATCTACAATCGTGTCTTTAGTAAATGTTTCTAGATCCATTGTATCGTCTAGTTCAGGAAGATATCTTTTCAAAACTTTTATGACATTGGAGTAAAAAGATTCATTATTGTTCATGTATAGCTCTTTCGAATAATGGAAAACTTGTTTCGCGATACATGAATCTGGGAGTTGGCATATGTTTTTAATATACCTAAGTATCCTTTTAAGTATTGAAATTTGTAATGGGTATCTTCCCAGTTCCCCTCTACTGGCAAGGTTACTGGCTTTTCTGTTGACACCCAAGTATAGTTTACAGAATTTCAAATGAGCTTTTTCAGTGACGGTTTTATCCCATTTGGCGAAATCATTGTCTATGTATGCTCCCCATATTTCCGAATTATAAAGTAGAATTGGTGAAATCACACTGTCGAAGATTTTACAAGCTAAATTAGCGGGTAGGCAGTGAAAATCTACGTTTTTACGTATTTTGTATAGAGCATGCATAGCTTTTTCACTTAGATGTTTGGTTGCAACTGAGAATTTGGCATTTGGGGTTATCTTTAAACCTAGATATGTGTATTCATTTGTAATATCGACTGGCTTGTTACCTATTGTAAAGTTCAAGCTTAGGTTTTGTTTTTTGAATTATGTTTTTGAAAAATCATTATTTTGGTTTTCTTCAGGTTGACTTCCATCAGCCATTTTTTCTTCCAACTATCAAGTGTATTTAGACAGTTTTGAAGGCCAGATTTTGATTTTGATACAATAATGAGGTCGTCTGCATACAGGAGGCTACTGATTGATGTACCGTTAGGTAGTATAAATGGATCAGAGTTTGTGCTTTCAAACAGTTTTGGTAATTCGTTGATGTAAATATTAAATAGGAGTGGACTTAGAATACACCCTTGACGAACTCCTCTACTGTAAGGGAAAAAGGGCGTTCTATTATTTGATACTTTAACAGCACATTGTGTATTTGAGTACAGGTTTTTAATCAGGTCATAGAATCTCCCTCCTATTTTATTTTCTAATAATTTTAAGAAGAGGCCGTCGTGCCAAACTGAATCGAACGCTTTCTTAAAATCAACAAAGCAGGCATAAATTTTTCCATTACTGTGTTGTTTAACATATTTGTCATGCAGTGTTTTTAGAGTTAATATGTGATCCGCTGTTCTGTTTCCAGGCATAAAGCCTATTTGACATGGATGTATTATTTTGTTTTCATTTACATAAGTCATTAATCTATTGTTGAGGATAGAACAAAATAATTTCCCTAGGGAGCTTGAAACACATATTCCTCTATAATTGTTTGGGTCTAGTCTGTTTCCGGATTTAAAGATTGGGGTGATAAGACCTTCACACCAAGATGATGGAAATTGTCCAGTCTTTAATATAGTATTGAATATCTTTCTAAATCCCTTTATAAGAATGTCCGCACTTGACTTAATTATTTCATTACTTATCCGATCAGAGTATACAGCTTTTTTGGTTTTAATTTTCTTAGCTGCATTTAGTATCTCATGATCTGTTATCTCATTGTCAAGTTGGTTATATTGATCTTTATCGTTTTCATTTTCTTCAAGATTTTTAATGAATATTTCATGATTTTCTGACAGGTCATGTTTACCATGTAGTTTTTCAAAGTGTTTGAGCCATTGGCTTTCAGTTGGTGAGTTTTTCGAATTAGTTGTATTATCTTAATTGTCACTGGTATTTTGGAGAGTTTTCCAAAACAATTTAGGGTCGTTTTCAGTTGCCTTTATGAGTTCGTCAATCTTATTTTTGTGGAATTCGTTTTTCTTGATTTGTAGAGTATCTTTATATATTTTGAGAGCTGTTTGATATGCATTTCTTAGACCAAGATTTGTTGGGTCTTTATGTTTCTGGTTTGCAAGCTTTCGAAGTTCATGTCTCTTAATTCGACATTCTTTGTCAAACCATTTTTTTATTTGCTATAAAATCTGATTTTCCTTAAATTCAATTTCAAACAGGGTGACAAATCTATCGATGATGTCATTGAAGCATCAGTCGCACCAAGGCTTGTGGGGGCTGGTCACGTCCGGTGATGTAAAGCCATTGTACATCGCTAGAGAGGGCAAGATCCTGATGAAATCTAACAGTTCAATAACAATTGAGAATGTGTTGGCGCATCTTGTAAGTTGCTATTAGGTGTTCAATATTGCCAGAATACCCTGTGTCAACTGTCAAGCACAATTGTATTCCTGTTTTTGGAAGCAGAGAACTAGGGAAGCTAAAAAAGGGTTGCAATCAACAAATATTTGCAAGAACTTGAATAACATTTTAACAATTAACCGAGCTACAGTACATGCTCTGCATCATGCATGTTGCTAGTAAACATGCAGTATTTAGTATACTTGTAATTGAATGCATGTAAATTTTTGTACTCATACCTGAAGGCTGCGCTATCAACGTTTCTGTCATCACGGTGGGAATTAATTTTGCAGAATGGGCAAATTGTAGCGTAAAAGAATTTGTAAGGACTTTAATTTTTAAAAGAATTTGTAAGAATTTTTTTTAACTTAGTTAGATCGAACAAATCTTTTTCAACTTACTGCATGCATATAAACAGCAATTTTGATAGCGTTAACTACCCTGGTTCCAGAGGCTCTTTGCGAGGCTCAACAACATTACTGTAAGCTAATTATAGCTATTAATAATAGCTATAATTAGCTTGTTTATTTCCCAAACCGGTTTGACATATTTTTACAAATGGCCAATCACATGGGAGATTGAAATTCTGAACCTAACCAAGTGTGGAAGTGGAATTTGCAACCGATGTGGCCGGAGGCTCTTCCTTCTCGCCTCTCGTTTATTTTGCCTTGCAGAGAGCCTCTGGAACCAGGGTAAGTGTTAACCAGCAAAACATATATAATCCTTGTACTTATATGATCAAAGTGTTATGTTAATTAAAATTTTCTTCCTTTATTCATTGCAATTTTACTATTTGTTCATATTTTTAGTGTAATTTACACCCGGCCATAAGTCATAAGGAATAAAATTTACTCCACTTTTGGTATATGTTTTTAACTCCAAAATGAGCGTAAAATTTTAAACTAGAGTATTTAGTACTCCTGTTAGGGTAAATATTACTCCATTTTTGGTATATTTTTGACTCCAAGATGAGAGTAAAATTTTAAAACTAGAGTATTTAGTACTCCTGTTAGGGTAAATATTACTCCACTTTTGGTATATTTTTGACTCCAAATTGAGTAAAATTTTAAACTAGAGTATTTAGTACTCCTGTTAGGGTAAATATTACTCCACTTTTGGTATGTTTTTGACTCCAAAATAAGAGTAAAATTTTAAACTAGAGTATTTAGTACTCCTGTTAGGGTAAATATTACTCCACTTTTGGTATAGTTTTGACTCCAAAATGCGAGTAAAATTTTAAACTGGAGTATTTATTACTCCTGTGAGTGTAAATATTACTCCACTTTTGGTATATTTTTGACTCCAAAATGAGAGTAAAATTTTAAATTAGAGTATTTATTACTCCTGTTGGAGTAAATATTACTCCATTAGTGAGGTAGAAAGTACTCTAAAAGTGGAGTTAAAATGTTGGAGTAAAAAATACTCCCAAAACAGAGTGAACTGGTACCTTTTTTTTTACTCCTTTTTTGGAGTAGTATCTACTCCTTCGAATTAACAGTGTAGAGGTAAGAAATTTCAAGAAAATCCGGTTTTCTCCGGTTAAATTAAAGGTTATCCTACGGATAGTTAAACGCGGTACTAAACGGGCTTCATACAACGCAATTTTATCGGCCGTTTAACTATCCGCTGGATAAGAAATTTATACGCTGGATAGCGGCTAAACACCGTTTAAGTTAAACGCCTTTGATACAACCGGCCCCAGTTCCTCAACCTTTGCTTTAAGGGAACTTAATTCAGACTTTATTCCCTTGATCTCTGCGAGGAGGTCCTGTTTTTCACTGGCTTCTGGGGATGTCCCCTTTTTCCCCTTTGCCCCCTCAACAGAACTCACCTTGGCACTTTTCGCAGACAGCCTCTCTGTTAAACCAAGCTTGTTTTCTCTCTCGGTCTTTTGGGAGGCAAGTTCATTGATGCTTCGCATAAGTTACTCATCAGACACACCGTCCTTTCGTAGAATTGGTCGTAAACTAGTTGTCAGATACTCATCACGAATTCCAGTTTCTAAAGCTTTCAGAAAAGTATTCTGGATTAACTGGCTACCATAGTTGAAATCAGTGTCTGCTTCCTTACTAGCAAAAACAACTTTATTTCTTGCATCCATAATTCTTAACAAGAACTGTTGCACACTTTCTTTGGGTTTCTGGCACATTGTAGTTAGTTGCTGGTACAATTCTGAAGCTATCTTCTCGCAATAATGGATCCTTAAGATCTTTCGTAGTTGGGGAAGACCAAGTTCTGGCATTGTCTCAATGTAACTACGGAGGCTTGTGTGTGGTGAAATAGCTCGGATTACTGCATCGACAATTTCATCCTCAGTGTATTTTCGTTTGAGCCCTGATTCAATCTGGTGATTGAGAGAGATATATGTCAGTTTTTCTGCTTGTCCTGGTTCTCCAATATGCCCCGATATCTTAAAGTCTCGTCTCAACAACGCCCGGGTACTTGAAGGCACTTCAATCACTGATGCGTTTTCACTACTGTTTACTTTGACTTTGGCAGATTTATCATTAACTCCAATTTCCAATTTATCTATCTTCGCTTGCATTTCTAACAATTGTTTCTCTTGTTGGCTTTTTAACTGTTCATATTCCTGTTGCAACTTTGACAATTCTCCTTCTTTCTCATTTACTGGCGATTATTCAGAAGAGCCACCAAGCGTTAAAAAAACATCGTTCAAAAGTTGATTTTTCTTTCAATTCCTTCGACAATTTCTTGAAGCCATCTCCGTACTAAATTTATGACTTGACCCCTCGACTTTTCCTTCAATTCTTCGATCTTTTCATACTTTAACTTCTCGGCCGCATTCAATAACACATCCACATCGTTTTTATAAAGTAACTCTTCCACTTTTAGTTGTAATTCCTCGAGATTCTCCATAGTATAACCAAATACAGCAGAGTCAAAACCCTTTCGTATCGTCTTGCATAATGTCGCTTATATTTCCACCAAAATCGGCTTTAATTCCATCCCTAAACCAGTTGGCAGCCCCACGTTGGGCGCCAAAATGTTACTCCTATTTCCCTTCACGTATGGAACATAACGATTGCAAAAGATATATATTTTATTACTAACAAAATGTGAACTATATAAACTCTCGTTTTACATGTGCTCGAAGCAACTGTTAATCTATATATTGTCCCGCGAGTGTCCCACGCGTGATTCTTGCGTAATCATACAACTAAGGGCAGGGGCCCTACATTACCTGTGACATTGGACACAGGGTCTGTAAGGATCTCATGCAGGGGAATTTGGGAGGCCTTTGATATACTTTTACATGTATTTCTAATATTGCTTCATCTTTAATTTTACTTTATAGTGGCCGAAATTGATGAATTCAGTTGAAGTTCCTTGTGCCTGTATTAGAATCGATTTCCGCTAATTGATGAATCAATTTTTGTATTATAGACCGGGTGTTATGTGTTCACTTCTACATTTCTCAAGCGTGCTCGTCAATGAGATGCATGAAGAGGTAAGGAATATTAAGAATTAGGATATTATGTAAAAAGGCAGCTCAAGATTTTGTTGTTTTAGTTTGAACATGACACTTTTTCTTCTATTTATTAATCTAAAATGATTTCCGTGATTCAATTTCAATAACAGTATTGTGTTTGTACAAAACAGCGGTCAGCAATATACAAGAATCAGTAGACCATACCAACAACTGGTCTACTTTCAATAATCTTCACCTTAACCTTGACAAATGTAAAGAACTTCAGATCTCTTTTAGTAAACAAAGTAGCCATTAATTTCCAACCATTATCAATCGGAGAACATCGTCTCGAACATATTACAGAATGCAAATTACTTGGCATGATTATCAGTGATGACCTAAAGTGGAATAAACATATAGATAACAGTCAGCAGAGCTTCCAAAAGAATTTATTTTCTTGTTCAACTAAAAATAAAAAAGTCGAAGTTAATAATCTCATTAATTTTTTTAAAACCTGCATCAGATCCCTCCTGGAGTATCGCTGTGCAGTTTTCCACGATAGCCTTCCTGACTATCTCCACCTGCGCCTGGAAAGGGTACAAATTAGATGTATGTCCATTATTTATCCCGAAACCACCTATGACAATACTCTAGAAAATTCCAGTCTATCCAGCCTGAAACAACGGCGAGAAAAGCTTGTAGCCAAATTATTCACCAACATTATAAAAGACCAAGATCACCACATGAATTGCCTGTTGCTGAACAAAAAGCGATCCTGCTACAACTTTCGAAAGAAAAATACATTTACTGAACCTCAATGTCGAACTGATCGCTATATAAAAACACTTTTATCCCTGCCAACACTTTTAAGCTTAGCAGTTAATCGTATTCTAATTTACACTGAAATTTAACTTTTTTAAATTTGTAAACTATACATGCAGTTGAGTAATGTTTTATATATTTAGCAAATTATTGTAAAATTGTGTAATTCAACCTGCTGGTTGCAAGGCAATTCTATTAAAACGATCTATCTAGCTACAATCCTGGCAAAAATTATGTGGACACCTAACCTTTGTAAGGTTAATATTAACATTGAGACGTTCTTTCATGAAATTTGTCGCCCCCTGCCCCCTATTCAATGTTGTTTCTCGCATTCAAATTTTAAAGTTTCATTTACCAACATTGAATTGGGGGTAGGAGGGGGAGAAATTTTCTTGCGGATTAATTATGTAGAAATAGATCTATTTTTGTTTGACGCACTCGCTGTCCACGATAATTTTTGCCAGGATTGTAGCTATCTAACCTCTTCACGACGACATGTCACAAAACCACAGGCAATCGAAGTGGTCACATACTCACTTTTGCATTGCAGATATTACTCTCCATGCAGTGATTATAAATCAATATTTGGTATGCATTTGGTTGATTCTAGATTGTTTTTTTTAAGCATGGGTAACCCCCAGTTTGTGACATCAAACATGTTCATATGTGAATAAATTTTGCTTTGAAGGGTTGGGATTAGTCCAAGATATTTGCAACCACCACATTTTTTGAGAAGAGTAATTTAATCAGTTTAAGCTTACACTATCAGAGAAAAACAAAAATTCATCTATTTTTATTTCTTCATAGGCCTTAAATGAAGATATTGGCGAAATGATGGAGGATTGGGTTTTGTTTATTGAGACGTGTGCTCAGTGTGAAGAAAATGAAATTATCAGACTAACGTTGTCACAAGTCATTGGCTCAGGAAATGTCACTTTTGTTTTAGCTGAGCCTCTTCATGCATTTGGTGAGATTTGTTGCTTTTGTTATATGTTATTAAAATATTTGGTTATTATTCAATATAAAATATATATTACAAAGGCCCGTTTTTTAAATGTTATGTGTTTGAAATTTTTCCACATGTCGCCAGTCAGGATTTCTTTTCTTTTTCTTTGAATGTACATACTAAAATAATTATTGGATATTACTTATGCGCATGCACATGACATTATACAGGTAAAGGATTATATATAGCTATATAGGGTGTTCACAATTTGGAATTGGCGGCAGGTCGAACGTTTGACAATTTATATCAATAAAACAAGATGCTCTATTATACATTCAGTAACTGGTTTTATTAAAATAGAGGCCTGTGGAGGCCAATAGAAGCCTATTATTAAAATAGCGGCCTGTTCTGTGATAGTAGGGTACATATGGGTGCATGCAAGTCTAAAAGTATGTAATTCGTTGACTGATTTTTAATTTTTGATTTAGGGGCACTTCTTTAGGAGCAAATATAGAACGGCTCAACTTCCAGACCTATTTAATTGCTATAGTGTTTCGTTCGATCATCTAGATAATTTTAACATATTAAAAAAAACGCCTTGCCGAACCAACATTAAGGGTTTGAAACAATGCAACGTGGTGACCAGTTTCTGGTCCAGTAGTACGATCGTAGCTATACTTGTTTAAATCAGACACCGTCAGTCGATGAGTATGGTGGCCCATCATTGTCGCTGCTAAAATCATTTTGTCAATATTTTGTGGTAGAATTGTTTTGTTCGATATAATAAACACTTATTGGATTCATCTTCACCCAGTATGGCAAAATATTACGTCTCAACTTCAATATTTTAGGCTTGACCTTCGATCTCGCCCAATATTGCAGTCTCGACTTAATATTTTGCCATATTGAGCTCTGTATAGAATCCAATAAGATATAATATCCTGCTAGTAGAGGGCCAATCAAATTGCAGAATACTTATACCTGGTAGTTGTCTATATTATAATGCTCAGCTCATGATCAGCCTCATTCAATAATTATTTAATGAATGCCTCATAATAAATGTTGTTTGTTTTTGTATCTTTGTATTAGAAAACCTGACATTTCGGCTTTGGAAAATTATTATCAATTTGTTAATCGATGATTCTGTGGAGGTCAAGGTTTCCATGGCAAGTGGTTTGCCAAACTTATTACAGTCAGTTGCGCAAGGTAAATGTATTACCCATGCATGCAAGCAATTCCTATATAGTAACAACTGTGCACGCTGCAAAGAGGACAATAAATATAATGCGTTTGCATGTTCTCTCCAACTCAATTTTTCAACATTTGAGAACACTGTGTCCATTTATATATTTGGTATTCCACTTCAGTTCGCACGAATTTGTGAAAATGCTATACAAGAGCTTCACAACAAATACATGGAGTCTGCATGTGCTGAAATGTGAAGTTAATGCTTTTGTGTATTTAACCCTTCGTGTACGAGTCATTTAGTACGTCATTGAAGTGCAAAAATATAGCTACTACCGTTCATTGCAACTTCTTCACTAGCAGCAATTGTGTAATCTGAACGGATTAAGACTTCACAGATATGTGACTATAACCTCGCAAGCCAGGCTATTTACTTCCATCCGAAAACACAGCGGAGGTAAAGAGTCTGGCTTTGTGGTACGTGTCGTGATGAAATTGTAGTAAACTATACCTGTCTGCATGTTCACTCGACTCTGCCTATTGTAGAAAGATAACCTAATTGTTAATCAGTATATATATATATATATATATATATATATATATATATATATATATATATATATATATATATATATATATATATATATATATATATATATAT